TCCCCCCTTTTGTGGGACAAACTGACCTTTCTGGGAGCAATTCAGCTTCAAAACGATTGCATTCAGCTTTGAAAAGGACTTGCATTGTATAACTTAATCACTGTGGGCCTTAAAAATAATAATCTTGCCTAACACCATAAAATTTGGCACCAAAAGTTAATTAGACTTGGCTTTGGTATTTCTCTGTGTTGAATCAGCTCCTCACCCTCCTTGCTATTATCAGCATGGCTGAGACAGACCATGTCCTCCAGGGAGATGGGCCTCGAAGAGATGGTCCCCATCTCCAGAAAGACACACTGCTGTTTTCATAGCCTCTTGCTGCCATCCCTTCACGTGCGACCAGTCATGCTCTCACATTATCATGCACAAGCCCCACATTTGGAAACGTATTTGCTATTACAGCACACAGGAAGAGGTTAAGTGAGTGCTATAAAACTAACCTCCATCAGTCAAAAGAAATAAAACAAAAAAATAACAGGGTAATCAGATGCTTTTATGAGCAGGATATGCTCAAGATTACTTCTCTGTCTCATTACAAATGCTTAGAAACTGAATGGCCTCTCCAGCACAGTGAGATTTTGAAGTGGTTCAGTAGGCATAAGAAGTTCAGAGCTGATAATACCACTTCCAACATTTTCCTTATCCTTTTGCTTCATGAAAATAGGTAGTGGCTATTGATTGGTGTAAATTGGCTACTTTTAAAACTGTATTTGCTAGCTAACATGTGCTAAGAGTCTCTCTATAGAGTTTTCAGGGCTGAAAATGTAATGTGTGTTGTTAAGGGGGGGATATATTGAATTTCTTCAGTGGAGGACAGGTTCCAGTGTGGGCCATAAATGCTGGAGAGCTGGGGACCTGCTGCAGTTGAGCTTTACATCCCCATCACTAGGAGAAAAAACAGGGCTTTTGGAGGGTTGTTGGTCAGTCAAGACAAACTTTTCACTTTGTCTTTTCTTTTTCTTTCAGGACAAATTGTTCACAATGTCAGTCAAAAAGGAAGGTGCCCACAAGAAGTGGGCTGCCCTGAAGGAGAAACTTGGACCCCAGGAGACTGATCAGTCAGAGGCCAACCTGGAAAATGCAGAGCCAGAGCTGTGCATCCGTCTCCTGCAAATACCATCAGTGGTGAACTACTCTGGGCTGAAGAAGCGGCTGGAGAACAGCGATGATAGCTGGATGGTCCAGTTCCTGGAGCTGTGTGGGTTGGACCTCCTCCTGGAGGCCCTGGACAGGCTGTCCGGGAGAGGAGTAGCCAGGATTTCAGATGCCTTGCTTCAGCTCACCTGCATTAACTGTGTGCGAGCAGTCATGAACTCCCACAAAGGCATTGAATACATTGTGAGCAACGAGGGGTATGTCAGAAAACTCTTCCAAGGTGAGAAGACACCTTCCTCCTTCATCCATCATATGCAGCTCACGGGGAGACTTTCCTGTTCCTTGTCCTCCTGCCCTGCAGCAGGCTTCTTGGAAATTGTTGGTTGCAACTGATTAATGACATTGTTTTCTTCTTTAAAATAATACTGCTTTGAAATCACATTGCCTTTGCTGCCCAATGCTATTTCCACACAAGTATCTTCATCGTTTACTGAGAAGCCAGGGATAAACCCAGGCTTAGCTTACGTGGGCATGAGAAGTCCTCAACCCTGCAGTTGTCCGCAGACATTTGCTGTTTAGTCTTTGTGAGTCCCAAGGGCAGAGGGAGAGGAATTGAAAGGGCTTGGAGACTTGGAGCCTGTAAAGAGAAAGGAAGGTGGCATGGTTTAGACTCAGGAAAGTCCATTCTCTGTGCTGCTCAGTCTGTTCCTTCTAGAAGGTGGGTAGGTAATGCCACTTACTTTCTCCTGCCATTTACTTGGCTCGTCATTAGGTATGAAACTCAACAGGGTGTCTCCTAGAAGTTACTGTATAGCACTTAATAGTGGTGGTGCTGCGAGGGTAACTTCTGTGCTGCTCCACAGAGCTGAGATCACAGCTGCGCCCAGAAACCCTTATTAATAGCTCTTCAAAATGCATTTAGTCTGAAAGCAAGCTTTCTCCCCTCCTCAGTTTTGAAGTCTTTTCCCTCTCCACTCTGTACTTTCTTAACCCATGTGAAATACAGAGCTGGCATTTTTGTGCTGTGAGAAAAGGGAGGCACCCGGAGCTTTTCAGTGGTTGAGCTTCTTTGGGCATTAATAAAAAAAAATAAGATGGTCTCATCCACTCCCTTCCAGCTCTAAGGTCTGACAGAGAAAGAGTAGTGGGAAAAGTGGAATACATGGGGACTGGTTAGAACAATTGGCCTACTTGGTATGCACATTGGGTGTTTCTGCACTAAAAATAAGGCTCATTAGCTGATAAAAATGATTCATCTGCTGTTCTGGAAAATACACATATGTGAAAATGGGAAATAAAATGTGTGACTGTGGGTGCTGAAATCTTGGCTGCTGTTGCAGCATGCCACCGGTACATGGAAGAGATTGACAACTACAAGCAGCACCAAAATGCCAATAGGGTACGTGTATCATTTACTGTTCACCCTAGAAGTTAAAATCACCTAATGCTGTTGGGATGGGATATCTATACATTGGGATATTTTTCTTTCCATCTTCCATGTAGTGGCTTCACTCCTTGAGTCTTTTTTCTGCCACTGATCATAACCCATATAGCAGAAGACACTGAGATTCAGAACATTAATGTCATTATAAATTCTTTTTTGTTTTGTTTTTCCTCCAGCACTTGACACAACTAATGTCATGGTCAAAAAGCAAATATTCGAACTCCTGGCTGCACTGTGCATTTACTCGTCAGATGGGCACGCTTTGGCTTTGGATGCCTTGGACTATTACAAGGCAAGTGTTCAGCTAAAGCAGGAGGTGTGGCTCTGGTCTGATCTGTGCAGGTAGATCCATGTACCACAGAAAAGGGCTGGGAATTAAGGTAATTTTGCATCATTTCAATAAGAAAGGCAGGGATTTATACGGTGAAAACTGTATGAAATTTTGCCTGGTCAGCATAAATCCATGGTGCTGCTCTGTGACTTGTCTGGATGGACAACTGCCAACCACAGGGTCCTTTCTGGCAGGAAAAGCACAACCCAATTAGCAAAACAGATGCTGCCACATCTAAAGGTTTCACTGGCCACAAGCTCAAACAGATGCCTCAGTTATCAGAAAGCATAGAGATCCAAGAGGAGTTTCACTGATTTTTTCTGCCAACCGGACCCTGCTCCATAATGAAGGAGTGCTGTTTTCACCTGTTTCCCTGTCTTGTGCACAGTGGGGTAAACCGAGAGATTTTTAAGAGGTTTTCATTCCATTTGACAGTGTGCACTAAAGTGGTAGACATTTCTGAACTGTCTGAATAGAAATATCATTTGTGTTATTAACAGAGTGTGAAGAACCAGCAGTATCGATTCAGCATTATAATGAACGAGCTCTCCAACACAGATAATGTGCCATACATGGTCACACTGCTGAGTGCTATCAATGCCATCATACTGGGGAAAGAAGAGCTAAGAACAAGGACACAAATCAGAAATGAGTTCATAGGTAAAGATGTTTGTTGCACTTAACTTTCTCTGGAGAAAATCAGTTGCCAAGCAGTTGGGTTTTTTCTGGCTGTATCCATAAGGTGACTAAAGAGGCTGGGAGCAAAACTGCAAATAGTAGAGGCAGATTCCTTTTTTTTTTCTCCTTTTGGATTCTATAATCTTCAATAGCCTTTCTGTAACCAGATTTTTTTAACTTTGCTGCTTTCTCATAGCTTTGATCTTTTCTGGAATCCTGGCAGGACTGTATCACTTGAGTTTCTTCAATGCATTTCTATAACCAACCATCTTATGTAGCCACATTTCCATACTTTGCAACTCCTCATAAGAGTAAATAAGGTTTCATCACCTTGTGTCTGCTCAGTTGAGCCACAGAAGCTGCCCTATGATTCAGAAATACTTTCCAAATGCTTCAATATTGGGATCCTAGGTACCATTGTTAAGATTTACCTCATGTGATGCACGTATCTGAGCTGGTGAGCCTGGGCTCCATTTCTCCCTGTGGAGAGCAAGCGACATTTGACCACACTGTTCATCTGACTGATTTTAGATGTCTAGTTTATAATGAGGTGGCTCATGCCCCAGAAGTGCCTGTGTCCCTCAGTAACTCCAGGGGGATGCTGCAGTGGTTCACACAGCTGCAGACGTGTGTACCATGTGTCTCTTCATTTACCAGATGACCCTGCCTACTTTGACAGATCCATCTGAAGTTATTTTCACATTTTCTCTGTGCAAGAAATGTTTATAAGCATAACATTATGTAAAAATCATAACAGATCAATACCAAGTAGGTCATCATACCAATATATCTACTTCTTTGTTCTCCCAGGTCTTCAGCTGCTGGATATTTTAGACAAGCTAAGGTAAGGATCACTGTTTAGATTTTCTTTTATAAATGAGATTTGTAGTAACTTCAGGTGTGGAAATTCAATACTTACCAGCTTTCATCTGTGTGAAGTGAAGTGTACCTGGGTGGAGTGGAGCACACTTGTGTGCATCCACTACATGGGAACTGGAGGCACTAAGCCAGTGTTAAGATGCTCTTGCTAACTACAGTGTCACAGGGACAGCCGTTGGTGCAGATGGCATTGACAGCAGCTCTGGGCACAGATGGACAAAGGCTCAGCGACATCCTTGTTGAGGCTACGTTTCAGACTGAACCTGAAGTGGTGCTGAGAGCTCACTGAGCAGCTTGCTGCATTCAAAACCCTTTCACTGCTGGTGTTCTCCCAGAAGCATCCAACTAAAGCAATTTACTAATGCATATCTGGACGTACCTATCTTTGCAGTGTCTAAATTTTAAAATGATGTTCTGTCAGAAACATCCATGATAAATTCTAGAATGCATTGTATGTGAGTTGCAGTTATCCATGTAACTCGAATTGCTCCATTCAACCCCACAAAAATTAGGGAAGAGATTTTTCAATAGTGCCAATTAGCAAGCATAGAGTTCCATCTCTGAGTGGTCTCAAGAGTGCTGAAAAAGTTAGCTTTAGAATGGCTGGAGTTTTTTTAATCCAATTTTGAGTAACAGAGAAGGATGTTTTTTAAACAGAGATGTCACTGGAATATTTTTAACTTGTCTTGACTTTAAACAATAAAAAAAAAGAAGGTGGCCCAGTTTCAAAAGGGTGGAAATGCCACTTCTGTTACAGCTCCAGAGAGAAGTCTATACAAAGCATACACAGGGCCAGCTTGTGGCACGAAAAGCCCCATTCATTTGTATGTATTAACTGTAGAAGGAGGTACATTCAGTTCAAGAATGGATGCTTTTGGTCCTTTATAAATAAGGTAGAGTTGGGTTTTTCAACACTGACTGTCTGAGTCTCAGAGGCAAAGAGATAAAAGCCATTTAAACAAAAATAATAATCTGAAAATCAGTGAAGGGCTGTCCAGTGAAAATGAATGCTGTAATATTGCAGAGACATAGAGGAGGAGGATCTGATTATCCAGTGTGATACATTTGAGGAGTTCAAAATAGAAGATGATGAGGAATTATTAAAGATATGTGATGGAATTAACATGAACGATCATCATGAGGTCTTTTCATCTCTCTTCAATAAAGTAAGTAGGCCCTCAGGTGGGGTGAAAAGTCATGCAATGGCAAAGTTAACACACTTTGCTTAACACCAGCCTAGTTGTAATGGAAAGCTGCCCTATCTTCTAGGTGAGCCGCTCTCCAGTGTCCATCCAACTGCTGTCCATCCTCCAGAGCCTGCTGCACTTAGAACCATCTCACCACTCCAGCCTCCTGCTGTGGGAGTCCTTGGACGCGGTAGTGAACAGAGCCCTTTTGCTTGCAAATGACAGTAAGAATGACATACCCATCCAGCCTTGCACTATCCTCTTGTTTTCCATTGTCCTACCCACTGCCCACAAAAGTCCTTCCCAAATGTATAGGAAATAATCTATGGGACTTGTTAAGAGCTGAACAGAAGCTGGGACAAAGCTACAGCTCCTGCGTAGAGTCAAGTCTCAATGCAAAGCCCCAGCCATGTGGATGACAGTAAAAGCTGGCCACATTTAGCAGTGGACTCGGGATTCATGGTCTTGCTTTGATGGTTAAGCCCCAAGCTTTGGGTCGTGGGAGTCAATGGGAAGCTGTCTTTGTTGGCATCCTGCTGCTGGTGCTGGCTAGTGTTGCTGGCAGTCATGCTCAAAAAAGTGATGGTCAGAACCATAGCAAATTGCCTGGAAGCTAGAAGTGCAGTTATGTAAAATGACATCAGGGAGTGGGCTCTATGGCTCCAGATCTGCTGCTTGGTGAGGGTTGAATAGCATGAACCAACCTTTGGGCTTCATCCCTTTCTCTGACCTCTGACTCATTTCTCTAGTCCAGGGGAACACAGTTGAAGAAGTCATTGAGAGGCTGCTGTCTATCAAGAAACATCCGAACAAGCAAAAGCGAGCTGAAAATCGGCTGTCCGGGAGCGTGAATGAAGGCCTCCAGGCTGAGCTAGAACCATGTGCACGTACATCTCACAGCCCAGCAGGATCTTCAAACCCCTCCAAGGCACCAGCAACTCCCTCAGGGCCACCTCCCAACGAAAAGAACTCATGTTCCCATCTCACAGCCTGCTCTGCTTTGCCAGAGACATCTAACCCTTCACCCAATGCTGCTCCTGCCC